TCAGCATGAGTTTGTGTGTTCTGTTGGCTGTCTGCTTGTCACTCATAACGCGCCTTTAAAGGGGTCCTATTATGCGTTTTCACTTTTTTAATTTTAGTCAGTTTGTAGTGTGTATGTTTGGGCATTAAAAAGATCTAGAAAGTTACAAATCTCAAAGTCCACTCCAAAGGGAGATATTTGTTTTTTTTCTTTTCAAGAACTACATCGAATGGCTCGTTTGTACTACAGCGTTTGTTTTCCGGGCTTTGTGATGTCACAAAGCGGCTCATTGGAATATCATTAAAAATAATTCCCGCCTACAGAAATTCGAATGGTTGGGGGGTGGGGAGGGGCGAGGTCGGGGTTGGAACGCTTGGTTGAGTGAGTGCATCAGACGAGAGAGAGGTGTTGTAATAATGTAAAATATGTGAAAAATAATGTGTTTTTCGAACAACCTAGTATGAGAGCCTGTTCTAGCACACCCCCAAAACAAAATCAAGACTTTGTAAAAGAGCATAATAGGACCCCTTTAATTTTGTTCTCAAAGTGCACCAGAATGACAAAAAGGACAATGATACAATTTCAAAACATTTTAAGCATAGGATGTTGTTGTCTATATGTGTTTTGCTTTAAAGGGGTCATATGATGCTGCTAAAAAGAACATTATTTTGTGTATTTGGTGTAATGAAATGTGTTTACTTGTAACAGTCCAAAGAGAAAGGAAAAATGTAAATCGCATCATATGACCCCTTTAAAGACTGTCTATGGAATTTGCATACTGGCGTTAAAACACTCAAGGTTGCCTAAAGATATTTTACTATTAAAAACAATAATAATTTTGCTTTGAATTTACATAATATTTTCATTAGCACTTATTTTACAGTGAAGTGGTATTACAAAAGTAATGCCTTAGGCATTTTGAACATTTAATAGATTAATAGCTTCTACTAATCACTAATACAACTAGTTTCGATCTGATTGGCTGTTGTGCTTACACGTTACATCTTTGTTCCCCTTGTTCTGTGTTCATTTAAATTGAGAGATTGAATTGCAAGAGAATTTTAGGTGACAGAAGTTGTTTCAGAGGTTGTTACATTTTATTATTACATATTATAATAATTATTATTAGTAGTAGTAGTATTTTTACAGTACTATTTTTTTGAATTCATGGGTGGCGCATCTTTTGCGCTGCTGCGTGAATGTGAACAGCGCTCTGTTTTAGTGCTCTAAAACGGACTCATATCCAGATGAGAATTCCGCTTTATTCATAACCGTGACAATTAGTTCGACCCAAATAAGACCAGGAATGTTCTTTATCACAATAAATTGGGTCCTTTTTGCTGACTTTACATTCAACATGCTGACATTAAATTTCTTTGCAGAAAAAATAACTTTTAAAATCTTTTTGTATGCTCAGTTTCCCTTGCTGCTCTTTTCCTGCAGTGATCCCTCTTGCTGACTACTATATCATAGCTGGAGTGGTGTATCAAGCGCCTGACCTGGGATCAGTCATCAGTTCCAGAGTGGTGTGTTTATAACCCTAGAATAATAATCTCTCTAACTCTTTTATTTCTCTGAACATTAAACTTGTTTGTTTTGATGTGTCCTAGCTCTCAGCGGTTCATGGGATTCAGTCTGCGTTTGATGAGGCGATGTCTTTCTGCAGGTACCACCCGTCCAAAGGGTACTGGTGGCACTTTAAAGACCAGGAGGAGAAAGGTGAGAACACACACACAGCAGCAGGAAGTACAACTGTACCTGTCAGAAGTGCTAAAATAGTGTTGTGTATGTGTTATTTATAGAAAGGGTAAAGCCTAAATCTAAGCGGAAAGAGGAGCCGAGTTCTTTGTTCCAAAGGCAGAGAGTTGACACATTGCTACTGGATCTGCGCAATAAATTCCCCCCAACTTTCTATCAGGTATTGCTAATATACACTAAACATTTCTAACAGGTTTCCGAATGTTGTTTTAATTAGAGCATAATATTCTATTTAAATTCTCATTTTATGTTTATTTCAGCCCAAACCAGGAGAGAAGCCTGTCCCAGGTACGCAAATACTTGACTCAGTTTCATCTTATCACCTGCTACAGATTAAAATTTGTCAGATTTGCTGTAGATGGTATGGATTATGCACAATGGACAACGCATTTATTGTGTACATACATGTCTCTACATCATACTTGCATTTAAAAATATGTGAGTGTAATTACATCTGTAATTCATATATTTGAAAAAGCAGCATAATATGGTATTGTTTACATGTGGTTTGATTGAAGACCGACTATCCATTGGAAAATTTAACCAATTAAATGCTTTCATCACTAATATAGAAGAAATGAAAAGCTAAAGAAAAGCTTTGTAGACATTAGAAGTATCCTGCACTCAGTGAATAAGCTCTCACTCCCGGTCCATAGTGGAGGTAAAGAAAGAACCAGAAGTGCCAGTTGAGACAGTGAAGCCTCCAGAAGAGCGAGAGACGAAACCTCCAGCCCCTCCTGGCCCTCCTCGGCCAGCTCCACAAACTACACCCAACAAACCACCTCCTGAGAAGCGTGCACGGCTGCAGTGACACACATGCTGGTCAGCCACAAACAACTTTGATGTTGCAGGACTTCTGTGGATATTTCTCTGCACCAGCTAACCAAGGGTGAACTGTTACGGTTATTGTATATAAATGCAGTTTCTTCATAATTTAATAGTTTTTGTAATAAGGGAACTGAAATGTGTCTGTATTTCATCTTAATGTCATTTTCTATATTTCAGGGTTGCTGAGTATATTATTATGCCATTCTATCACTCACAGTAAAAATACACAGTTTTTCAAAACTTGTACAGTCTTTTTCTGATCAAAAATGTTTTGGCATGTCCTTTGTAAGTGATTCAATAACTGCATAATGATTAACATAGATTGGATTGTGGTCTTCAAATGTGACCCTAGACCACAAAACCAGTCATAAGTAGCATGGATATATTTGTAGCCATCAATACACTGTATGGGTCAAAATTATCGATTTTTCTTTTATGCCAAAAATCATTAGTATATTAAAATCATGTTCCATGAAGATATTTTGTAAATTTCCTACTGTAAATATATAAATATAAACTAAATTTTTGATTAGTAATATGCATTGCTAAGAACTTCATTTGGACAGCTTTAAAAGCGATTTTCTCAATATTTTGAGAATATTTTTTTGCACCCTCAGATTCCAAATATTCAAATAGTTGTATCTCGGCCAAATATTGTCCTATCATGACAAACCATACATTAATGGAAAGCTTGTTTATTCAGCTTTTGGATGATGTATAAATCTCAATTTTAAAAAATTGGTCCTTATGACTGGTTTTGTGGTCCAGGGTCACAAATAGAGATGATACAGTGCGCAGCGCCCTCTTGTGTTCAGATGGGTGGCGCATCTTTTGCGCTGCTGCGTGAATGTGAACAGCGCTCTGTTTTAGTGCTCTAAAACGGACTCATATCCAGAAGAGAATTCCGCTTTATTCATAACCGTGACAATTAGTTCGACCCAAATACTGCCAGTCCTGGCCTAATTTATTCCACCTGGATGCGCACAGTAACCGTGCGTACAGTAAAATACATAACGGCACGATAGATTCTTTTAAAATATTTCCACGATATTTTTTCGCGTACCAAGCAAACTGACTAAGTGGATCTGGAGAGGGATTGGTTTATTTATTAAATAGTGTATTTAGGTAAACCGGTTGCAAAAAAAATAAATCAGTATCGCCCCAGATGTTTTTGTTCGTCGATACACGCGTTCGCCACGCGGTGGCGCTGCAGAATAACTCGCATCTGTAGCACGCGCGTCGCGCAGCGCCACTCTGTGCTCGAGCTGCCGGGTGCGCGTAGAGCACGATGGGACGGGAAGCGCAGCGCTGGAGGACCACAGAGAAGAAGATGGCTGCGACGGGGCTCGACTGGCCAGCGCTGTACCTCCTGCTCGAGGACGGCTAGAGAGGGGATAGGGGGCAAATATGGGGTCGCAGATCCTCCAGATCCTGCGGCAGGGTGTGTGGGCGTCGGTGACGGGAGGATGGTACTACGACCCCCACCAGAACACCTTCGTGAACGCACTTCACCTTTACCTGTGGCTGCTGCTGCTCTGCCTCCCGTTCACGCTGTACATGGTGAGCGATGCAGCCGACGGTTTCCCTCTTGTCTCCGTCCTTCAGTCGTTATCTGCCCATCTCTGGTCTTTTCCTCATTCTTTACCCATCTCTCCATCCCCCTCTCTCTATCACCCTTGTTCTTCTAGCTCACCTCTCTATTTCCAGTACACACAGGCTATATGCCTCTTCCCTATTTCTTTTCACCTCTCTTACGGTGTTCCGTGGTCATGGAAAACCTAGAAATATCAGGGAATTTTAAACCGGTGATTTCCAGACCTGGAAATGTCAAGGAAATATATATGCTGTGTATTTATTCTGGTTATGCTCGGCTTGGTGATATTGCATTGCGATGGTGCTCTGCGGTCTGTTTGTTTTAAACCACTCAATCTGTTCTGTTCTGGTTTGGGGAGTATTTGTTTTGGTTTTGACTGGGTTTTAAAGCGGAGTTGGGTGTTTCAGACCTGCTGTCATGAGGTTTGGTCTGTGTTTAGTCTCTGTCTGCTAAAAGGGATAGTTCAGCCTAATGTGAATATTCTGTCATAATTTACTCACCCTCATGTCCTTCAGAATATGTATGAAGATATTTTGAAGGATGTTGTTGACCAAAACTGTTTGACTTCCCTTGTTTAGGAAAAATACACAGAAGAAAGAAATTTTAACATTAACACACTGGCATTGCCATAGATTAATCATTTGGGCTTCCAAAAGAACCTTTCAACTATTAGTTCTTAAAAGTTCATTTTAATAATCTGCAGAACCTTTTCCCCTACAATAATAATATAAAGGTTTCATAGTTCCATAATTTTTTAGCTGAATTTCCAGCATCATTACTCCAGTCTTCAGTGTCACATGACCCCTCAGAAATCATTCTAATATGCTGATTTGGTGCTCAAGAAACATTTCTTATTATCAGTTGTTGAAAATAGGTGTGCTGAACAACTAATGTTGTGGAAACCAGAATATCTGAGTAAAACCATTCCTTTTTTTTTAAGAATCTTACTGACCCCAAACGTTTGAACACTATTAGCTCAAAACCACAAGAATGTCTTGTTTGCTACGCATTTAAAATCTCTTGCTGTGTTCTTCTAAATGTTAAAGGTTTTTCTTGGAACCCTAGGTGCCAGTAAAAAAAAAAAACCTTCCCACCAACCCATTGTGGCTTTGTTCATAACATATATCAGCTCATTTTTAATATGCTTTCAACCAACAAAGTGTAGTACTCTCAACTGTGTTTGTCACATTTTACCCTATGTAAACTAATTCCACATATTTTATTCCAAAATCATTAAAGAAAATGCAGGAAAAAATTACAGATTTCATCTTTGTCATAACGACTCTTGCACAAAAAAAAAAACCCTCTTCACCATGAAACGTTATACTCCTGTTTGCATGATGTGTATTATGATATGTATTATTTTTAAAGCCATGTTTGGTTCTGTAGGTGAAGTATCAGGGCAGGTCTATAGCGACTGGTGCCACTCGTTTTAACTCATTTTTAACTTCCTGCACAGATCCATGCATCTAGGTTCTGCCTAAATACTCAGTTACCTTTCAACCACTGCTAAACAATATCATGTAAAGACCCACAGTAGTGCTGCGATCACTGTATCAATAAGCTGATATATGTGTTTTTTGTGAATGAATATTGATGAATATTGGACTGGGTGTGTGTCAGATATGGAGAGCTGTTTAGGGCAGTTATGGTGTTGGGTGGCTGTGCTAGAGACACAGATGTCCGTTCAGTGCCAGGCTGTTTTTAGCTTCTGCCCTCTGGTTGCGACTGAAATATTGTTGCCTCTTTTCATAACCCTGTAACTCTGTATAACACGGTCCTATACAGTATTTGTGTATGATATTTATATAACAGGGGGATGTTAATAGGCTGGCATATGTGAGCATATCCCAATATCACACCCCCGATGCTTCGGTTTGCTTGAAAGTCAACATTTGAAATACAGTGGCTTTTTTTATTTCCTTGATGGGGAAAAATGATAGATCAGTAATAGATCTAAAGATTGTACAGTACGCAAATATTCAGAAGTTGTGGTTGGTAAGGTTTTTTGTTTTTGAAATAAGACTTTTATGGTCACCAAGGCTGCATTTTATACAGTAAAAGCTGTAATATCGTGAAATATTTTTACTAATGTAAACAACTGTTTTCTATGTTAATACATTTTAAAATGTAATTTATTTCTGTCAGGAAAATGTCTGTCATTTTTCAGCAGCCACTACTTCAAAATCATTCTAATAGGCTAATTTGGTGCTCAAGGAACATTTCTTATTATTATCATTTATTTTGAAAACAGTTGTGCTGCTTAATATTTTTGTGGAAACTGTGATGGATTTTATTTCTTTTTTTATAGGATTCTTTGATGAATACAGAAGAACAGTATTTTATACATATAAAAGATATACATATATCTTTTATAACATTAATCTCATTACACTTTTGTCAGTGCATCCTTTGTTGAATAAAAGTGTTATTTTCTTTAAACAAAAATAATGTATAATAGATCAAAACCACAATAACTGCTTGTTTTCTACTCATTTAATATCTCTTTCTGTGTCTCTCTCTTTCTCTGTAGGCCTTGCCCCCCACGATGGTGATTGTGGGTATCTACTGCGGGGTGATAGCAGGTATGTTTGCGCTGCTGAAGGCAGTGAATTATCGCCTGCACACTGCGCTGGATGAGGGGGAGGTGGTGGAGCTGCGGGCCAAAGGGAGCAAGGGACAGTGCCAGGGGGCAGAGCGCCAACGTGAGGGTACCGGCACCCGGCAGGAAGACTCAAACGGGCCTGGGTAAGAATCATGGTTTACTTATAAGCCATAACAAAATGTAGTGAGTCGCTGCACAGTAAACAGGTCTGATTTAGCTTAGGAAGGCTCTGGAATGGGTTTGAATCATTTTAGATTTTGAAATGTCTCACAGTCTGAATCATCCCAAGACAAGTTGTGAATCATCTCAGGGTTTAAGTCTTCTCAAGAAACATTCTGATTTGGTTCAGGAAAGTAATGATTTTTTAAAATCTTTTTGGGTCTTCACAGGAAAGATTCTGCTCAGAAGGGTTCTAGTTCAGTGCAGTAAAGTTTTGATTAAAGGGACAGTGCTGTTGCTCAACGGTAGGGATGTTTCTGAGAACTAATCTGCTGTCATGCTGGATCCATTCATCGCCCACAGAGAGAGAGAACAAGGGAGGAGGGACAGGGGTGAGTGAATCAGGAGAACTGAAATAGAGCCTTATAAACCAACACACACAGGCTGCTGCTCTTGTTCTGAAACGGTCTGCAAACTTTCAGAGGTGAAATAATTGCTAGGTTGCATATTTTCTGCGAGAGCAAGCATTGCTGACCCAGTCAGAACACATTAAACACAGTAACTCAAATCATGAATCAAGCATTTTAGCAAAGGTTTTCTCTTTACAGACATCAACAACTTTTCATGCATTAGAAAAGAACACATAGCTTATGTTCTTGCGTTCTTATCTATATGTAAAAGAGAAATAGATTTAAGAGCCTCTTAAATGGATTATAAACACACATCTGGAGGGGCATTTTTGGTTGTCCAGGTCTGTACATGGTAAGACGGCTCTAATTAAGAAAATATATCTCTGCTTCGGGGCCCTTGGTATGAAGAGCTCATGTGTTCCTAATTTTTCCAGACCCACAAATACGTCCTGAAAGAAATAAATAAACCGCCTCTAGCGGCACTGAATGGAATGGCAAAAATAATGAAATAGATGGATGCTGGTTTCTAGCTGTGGGGTTACCCTTCACCGCTACATTTTATCCTTTGGGGGGCCAAGCAAAATAAACCTCCTAAAAATATTAAAAATAGTATAATCTCCCAAAAAGTGAAGGGAGGAGGGGTGGATCTCTGGCTAATGGGTGACAGACATTAGATAGAGAGACGCTAGAAATTATCTCCCCTCTGCCGGTGCCTGAGCTGCTGTGCAAGTTTGATCATAAATGACATTGTTATCTCTCTTGAGCCCTTGGGGCTGTTCCTGTGTTAGAGTTGCTAGGTAACTAACCTTTTGTGTGTGTGTGTGTGTGTGTGTGTGTGTGTGTGTGTTGGAATAGAGATGTCTGATTTTGCACGGGAGGAGACGCCACCGGTCGACTGCAGTTCACGGAACTCTTACGTAGGAATGGACTCTAACCATCAGGTGTGTTTGTGTGTTTGCTTTTTTGTGTGCATTGCGGGTCTTTTTATTTTTTATTTGAAGCACTTTATCACCTGATTTGATTAATTAATCCGTTTCCTTAGATGTTATATAGTTCACAGAAATTCATTTCCACTGCAATTTGCCAGTGCCTCCACAGCCAAAAATGTTTTTTGAAGTCACAACACTCACGTTAACAGATGAGGACAAGCTACAAATGTTATTATAATTTCTAATGTAAAAATAATTATTATTTGCTTTATAATTAGATAAAGACGAGACTGAAATAATTGTTTTCTGATTATGAAAAAGACCTCCGTGATAGTTACCTTGAATTTTTAATCTATGTTCCAGAACATCTAAAATTACCAATGAGAACATTTATTATAAACTGTATTATGTTCATTGTAACCAGAGTTGGGTGTAATGCATTACTAAGTAATATTCTTCTAAATTCTAAATTTCTGTAATTTAAAGGGGTCATATGACGTTGCTAAAAAGAACATTCTTTTGTGTATTTGGTGTAATGCAATGTGTTTACGCGGTTTAAGGTTAAGAAAATATGTTATTTTCCATATACAGTACATTATTGTTGCTCTTCTTTCTGAAACATGTCAATTCTAACAAAGCTCATCATTCTGAAAAGGGAGGTGTGCTCTGATTGGCCAGCTATCCAGTGCGTTGTGATTGGCCGAATACCCCAAGCGTTTGACGGAAATGTTACGCCCCTTACCATACTGTGATGCCATGTCCCGGAGCGACCAGACAAAACCAATAAAACCCATTATAAACAAGGCATTTATTGCATCCAGTGGGGACATAATTACTGATTATAATGACTTATACTGTCTTTTTATGCGTTGCGTATCGCGCTGCGAAAACATAAAACCATGTCTGCATTTGTGATCGGAGAAATGATAAACAACAAGCGCTACTCTACACTGCTCAAAACTCGCATTTGAATCATCATTGGCAAATTCTTTAAATATGAAAACGTACTTACATATGCACCAAGAGCTTGTAACACTTCAAAGAGAAAGGAAAAATTGAAATCGCATTATATGACCCCTTTAAATGCAGTAAGTAAATTACAGAAAAAGTAAAAAATAATAATTTAATTAAAAGAGCAGTTTCATGTCAATCCTTGTACTGTTAAACTGATCAAGGCTGATATGCCATTTAGAAAGAATATATATATATATGTATATGTATATGTATATATATATATATTTTAGATTTTTTTTCTCTTCTTTTTTGTGTGCATATACTGCACTGATTATGTGGTAAAATTTGTGAATATTAGTGTTATTAGCTATTGGTGTTATTAGCTAAATGAAGCTGTCCTGGTTTAGAGTCTTTGTCTGTTTGAGGGCAACCCTTCAGTCAGAATCTCTGCCTTTCGCTGCAGTTTAATTGGTGAAACCTCAGGGGTGTTATGTTCTGGCTTATTATACTGCTGGTCCCAAACTGTCTGTGTTGGGTCAGAAACTGATTGTTGAATCCTGAAATCATAAAGCGGAATCTCAAGCTGAAAGTCATGTCAATTAGTTACGTCATGTGATTTAATGACTGTGATGTGTTTTTGTGCAAGTCTGCTAAATTAGTAACAGTGATGGGAAGTTACAAACATCATGATCTCATGTAAATGACTCATCAGAGCTGTTTCATTGATCTTATCCATCTCTCTCTCCTTACAGATAACATCCCATGGAGGCTCAGTCACAACCAAACGTGAGTCATAAATTTTGTTTTTAAACTTCTGACAGTATTAGTATCTGGTAACCAAAAAAAAGGAATAGTTGAAAATTGAAAATTCTGTCATTATTTACTCACCTGCATTTAAACAAAAGTCTTGCCTGTCAAGAATCTCCTGTCTCTTGATCAATCATTATTTTGCCCCCATTTTTCATGAGTTGAACTCAAAGATCTAAGACTTTTTCTATGTACACAAAAGGCCTATTTCTCTCAAATATTGTTCACAAATCTGTCTAAATCTGTGTTAGTGAGCACTTCTCCTTTGCCGAGATAATCCATCCACCTCACAGGTGTGGCATATCAAGATGCTGATTAGACAGCATGATTATTGCACAGATGTGCCATAGGCTGGCCACAATAAAAGGCCACTCTAAAATGTGCAGTTTTACTGTATTGGGGGGTCCGAAAGAAGTGATCTCTCACGCATATACGTCACTCATTGTTTACACAATGCACAAATATTGTAGGTACGACAGCTAATCAAAATGGTACTTACTTGCGCTTATCCGGATTGTTCAAACCGACTTAAAGCTAAAAGATTACGTTCTCTCGCACTAACTCATTCGGGAGTGGTGACTTTCCACGTATTCCCAACTTCTGAGCCTGCTCGCCTGAAGTTATGGTTGATTGCTCTTCGGCTGGATATCAACACACCCATTAACGTAAACTACGCCAGAGCGCGTACACACCTCACGCACCGGATGCCGTGCGTGCGCCCAAAGACAGTTGGACATAGTGGTGTATTAGAGGTAAAAAATTATATAAATACTGTTCGGTTTCTGGCACAAACCGATCGTTTCGTGTCTTAGGACATCAATGTGTCGTCACGAGCCACAGGGTTTAATTTGGATTTGTCTGTGCATGTTTTTTTACTCATAGATTTTGTTACCATTGCCATGCATTATACGACTGATAGACTGCAACGGTTAAAGTTAAAAATCATCATATGTGTTCTACTGAAGAAACAAAGTCACCTACATCTTGGATGCCCTGGGGGTAAGCAGATAAACATCAAATTTTCATTTTTGGGTGAACTATCCCTTTAAGATGACAGCAGCAGGAACATTACAGGGTGTTTACTAGAAGTTGTATGACTTTTTTTGAGTTGTTAAAAACTCAGAGGACACTGTGTTGTGAACCAGGTTTACCGTAGCTATAAATAGAAGTGTTTAGGATCAAAGAGAAGAGGTTTTCTGCAGACAGCAGCGATATGTCAGAGGACCTGCAGTACTGTGGGCACAGGCCAGGTCAGAGATGTGTTTGAATAAAGTTGCAAAGGTGAGCGGGAGAGAGAGAGCGAGAGAGAGAGGGCGGATGTATTAGGTTAATGAATAAGTTATAAAACTTGACCTTCTCTGTCTCTCTCTCTGTGTCTGTTTGCAGGGGCAGGTGTTGGAAAGGCTCCTGATGACATCAGTTTGAGTTTGGCTCGGAGTTGCAGTCAAGACCAAGGTGTGAATCTTAATTAACGTCAGCTATAGAATAATGCAAGGCAAATTAGTCTCTTTTCACCCAATTCTGTCATTATTTACTCGCCCTCATGTTATTGTAAATCTGTTTGAAGTTGTTTTTTCCATGTAACATCCAGACAGACACTGATGTATGTCAAATCTTTTCTTATAGGATAGATTTCAAAGATAATACCATCAGGAATCAGTTTTTCCCTTCACTTTCTAATGGCAATGAAAATGTGCAGTTTTTTTTCTAAACTGGCTCACAAGGTGCTTTGGTGGTTTGGGAAAGTTTCTCAGAGTCATACATGCAATAAAACGTCTTTGTGTCCTCAGCAGAACAGAGAATTGGTCGGTTAGGCTCGTATTCTTACTGATTGCAATTTTATTCAACTGTAAACTGTTTCATAAAAGCTGAAAACCTGTAATACAGAGCTGAAACTTCTCTAAGATGAAAATGGATGCCTCTCCAAACCTACAGTTTGTGATCAGTATAACAGAGAGGTAACGTCAGCACTGCACGCTGGGCTCAGACATTCTAAAGCACATAATCAAAAGACCTTATGGACAGTGGTTTTTGGATAGTGTGCAGAATGGATTCTTGGTTAATGGAGTTGTAACTGATTTTGGCAGAGGACTGTATTGGTTCTTAACACTGCATTAGTGCTCAAGAAACTGTGTTTATTATGAATGTACATAACTACATTTCGACTTGACCCTGATTTATTTAAGTGTTTAAACATGTTTTTGGATTAAAAAACAGCTAAATGGAGCGAAATGGGGTCTCAGGGCTTATTTTTAAATGTTGGACTGTAATGCTGGATCATCATTTATCCAATGATTAAAAAGTGGCTGTTTGGTTATTGGTTAGCTTTATCATAAGGCCTGCACATTGCAGCGGAGAAACTTACCTCAGTGCCACTCAAAACACTACAACACTGCCACTTTGGGTTGTGTATGTAATGGGTTTTATTTTTGTCAGTAAACCACTGATATAATCATTATATATGCACACAATTACATTTGGAAAGATGCAAGCTTTGCTTCTGAATGCCTAAACTAAAGATTGTTAATCCAGCAAGTCTTCATTCACAATGAAATTCTAAAGTGCAATATTTAACTTGTATATAACAACTGGAAAGTGTGCAATATATAAACAATATGATTTACACACTAAATCCAGCAGAAACTCCTGCACAATCTTCATATTTTTTTAATGTTTGTTACAAATGTCAATACCTGCACTTTACTGCAATTTTCACTTGATATTTATGTGAAGTTGACAATTCTATACTCTTCAACTCTTTCACCACTTTCTCTGATCTGCTGTCAATCCTGCTATCAATCACACAAGTGTGTTGCTTGACTCCCATAGGAATGAATTGAAAGCGCCCACTCCCCTGCTCTTGCTCTGAGCCAATGTAAACACATTATAATTGACTAAAAGTGAAAAAAGGAAAGTCACAATGAAGAGAAAGTCATTAGATTTTTATAACGTAACATGGTCCGATAAATCGTTTGCAGTAAGACCTGGATTGTCCATTATGCACATAGGGCCAATCTTGACTCCAAGTCAATGTAACTTTCTTACACTTTTTTAAAAATATTTCTATTACCCTCTAGATTTGATGTCAGACCCAAAGATGTTCTGCCTCGTCTCCAATGACTCTTTTGCCTCCATGCAGCCATCAACTTCATTGGCTCAGGACCTTTATGGCTCAACCCCTCACCCTTTTAGTCAGTCCCTATCCTCTTGTGACACCGAAATTCCTGCTCATCTTTCCACCCACTCACAGTCTTTCCGGAAAGAGTCATCTCGACCTCGGAGATTGCCTCGCACATCAAGTTCTGCGGGATCTGCTTTTCCAGATCCTTCTCTGCCCGAGTTCAGCCTGTACCCTCCACTCTGTCGGGGAGGACTGGATCCTGTCTGTGAAATGGAGAACTCCAGGTCACAGAGGGCGACAGAGAGCTCCGAGCAGCCGGACTCTGGGACTCCCAGCACTTCAGGAACAGAGTGTCACAGATATCATCCGAAGGAATGCCGCAGGATATCACGGTCTGTTTCCCAAGAGACAGGGGAAGGAGAGTGTGCAGGGGAAGGGGGATCTGGGTTGTACCAGTCGGAGGGTGTACAGGGGGGTCGGGAAAGAAAAGGTGGACGGAGTGCCGAAAGTTTGCGGAGTTTAAGTACACGCAGTAGCGGCTCCACTGAGAGCTACTGCAGTGGGACGGACCGGGATACCAATAGTACTTTGAGTAGCCTGCACAGCGAGCAGACAAGCTCCACGCACGTAGAGAGCCTGCTGTCGCTGTCTGGGGACGAGAAGGTAAATGCGGGACATGCCGACCCACGTAACTCTAATGTAGCCTCGGGGGAGGCTAATAAAAACCCCCATGCCAACGAACTTGCTACCAAATTGCCCATTGGCGATGCTCCCAAACCTGCAAACTCAGAGGGCCAACAGGGGGAGGGAACTGTGGAGGCGGCATCAAGGACTAGCGTAGATGTCTCTGCTGGTATGTCCCACCAGCACCAGAAGGCAGAACTAGACGAAATGCGTCCCAAAACAGCCAATCTCGTTCACCGGGCTGCCTCCTTATCCGCCGCCAGCCGTAGTGGCCGGCGACGAAACGGTAAGCAGCGAGCAAGCAGTTTTGACGCCAGCAGACACCGGGAATACATTTGCAGACGTGGCATGGCAAAGCCTCGCTCTGCGGTCTTCATGAAAGGAGAGGAAGACTCTAGTGATCAGAGCGAACTTAGTTGTGCCTCCAGCCTACACTCCACCCACCAGCTCAGCACAGACTCCTCATCCAGCACACCCCACTCCTGCCCCTCTCCTGAGGATCGCCGTGGCCCCTCTCTACGGGCCAAAATGAATGGTGTGCAAACCCACGGTCAGAAGGACAAGGAAAAGGAACGGGAGAAAGACAAGGAGAAGGGCAAGCGCAAAGCTTCGCGACGCACTACGAGTACAGGCAGCGCCAAAACTCATGCCCGGGTCTTGAGCCTGGACAGCAGCACTACTGCTTGCCTTAATGACCCCCACCATTTGGGGGCACCAGCAAGTTCCAGACCCCTTACCACCTCCAAGTCGGACCTGGAGGCAAAAGAGGGAGAGGTGTTGGATGCGGCATCCCTGCTGGGAAGAGCCTCTCAGCTTGAGTCAGTGACCCGGTCGAGAAACAGTCTGCCCTGCCCCATTTCTCTTAGTCACACACAAGACACAACCACAGGATCTCGAGGTGAGCACATAGCAATGCGAGTTTATACATGAACTTATTCGCTAAGGGCTGGGAGATGATTAAAGCGATAAATAATTCTGTCATTATTTGGTCACCCTCATGTCATTCCAAACCTGTACAGTATATTTGCTTCCATGAACCGCAAGGAGAAGCTTATCAGGATGTTCACGTTGCTCTTTTCCATACATTTGAAAAGAATGGTGACCTGGGGCTGTCAAGGTCCAAAAATGATAAAAAGCTTTATAAAATGCCCAAGCCATAAGACAGCTTTGTGTCAGGAACATGCTTGCATTCAGTCGCATTGTAACACAGGTTAACTCAGATTATTTCATTCATGCTGTGACATACATCTGAGTAAAATGAATTATCAAAACAAAAAAATTGTAGGATGGGGACTTGGTTCAATCCATTGGTTGTTGATTGGATGGTGGCAGATCTGAATGCAAGTTTGCAGTTGGGTTGTAATGAGGGGCGATGTTTAAGTGGACTGAATGATTGGAGAAGTCCGACACCAGAGAGTCCAGAGATGTTTCAATGGAAGATTGAGTTATGACATTTTGATTAAAAATTACAAGGTAAATAAATTAAATATATTCATGGATAATTTGCATTTCATGTCACCATGTCATTATTCTCTTTCAAATCTCCTTGATGTTTGCATAAATATGGCATGACAAGATGTGGCATGGCAGGTTTAACATCAGTAATGCAGAAAGTCAATAGTACATCGCGATTTGTAACTAATGGTGATTGGTGAAAATCTGAATATGCGCACATTCAAAGACTTTTATCTGTTGCTCACACAAAGATATTTGTCTTGAAAACCATTGGTCACCATTCACTTTCAATGTATGGCAAAGAGCATACAACATTCTGCCCAACATGAAAAGAAAGAAAATCGTAGAGGTTTGGAATGAAATAAGGGTGAGTAAATGATGACTGCATTTTCATTTCTGGGTGAAATATCCCTGTTAAGTAGTGATCTCCTCCTGAGATCAGTCTGAAGTGCTAGACATCTGAGGTCTGCAGCAGGTCAGATGGATGTTTTTCAGCAGAATGTAGCTGATCAGATAAACAAGCTTTGCCCAGAAGCTAGTAGATGTACATGTAGTGTGTTTTGCCAGTGCAGCTGTGACCCACAAACCCCTACAGAATTACTGAAGTCTCACTCTGACAGCCTGTTGAGTCTATATATGGAAGATCTGCAGGGTTTGTTCTTTCCTCTGGTCCACAGTGATCATGCGGTCTTTGTGCAACATTTGCTTGTGTGAAAGTGAATTGCAGTGTGAATGTGGATTCAGTAATGCTAAAAAATTTTGGCCCCTTAATTTCAGATTTAAACATGGCCTCTTTCTCCATCTGTGCTTCTGTTTGGAAGCACAGAATGTGATATATATAGAGATATGTGTGTGATATTTATATGCGCGGGCTGTGTGTATGATATATTTTCTTCTGTGTTTGTGCTAATATTTAGAGGGTTTAAATTTTAGCTCTGTGCATTTCTGATGTGTGATGGACCAGTAACTGAATCATGTTTGAGGGAGCATTGTCTAATGTTCGTTGTCATGTTTCTGTTATCTTCTCTTAAAGCTTATTACTCAAAAATTAACTGGTCTGAACATAGCAAAAGCATTGCTCTAGAGCAAACCATTCTGTCTTGGTTTAAAGCCCTTTTAGTCCAGCATGAGATTGTTTACACTGTTTTATTGTAGTAATAAAGTTTTACTTTCAGTGATAAGTCATCAGATAAGGTCAAAGTTCATCTGCAGTGGGAGTGCTGCAGTTAAAGTCCATTTTTAAAACTGCTTGCAAAGGCAATGCGATTATTCCATCTGGATGTCGGAAGATGACAAAGCAGGTTTAGTTTATATTATGCGTTTATCACTGGCAGTTTAGTTGGAAACACATTACCTTGAATTGTACTTTTTTTCTTTTAATCACAATAAGTTGTATGCAAGTTCCTAAGTATGTTTCTTTAAATTGTTGCCTTTGACTGCACCATGTTCAGCAAAACTTTGCTATATGATTTGTAAAGATTTATGTAAATAAATACAATTCATTACAAATAAATGTAAATATTTAAAAAATAAATACATATATACTGTATACAATATTACTTATATTATTTTTTATATTAAAATGTTATATAATAGTTTATTAAATATGTACATACATTTATTATAATATATATATATATATATAATTTTATATGTACATATAAAAATGTATTTAAAATATTAGACATAATAAATTAATGTAAATATTTTAATAATGTAAATCTAATTCTTGAGCCTAAAATTGCTTCTTTTCTTTTTTTTAAACTCCGTTTTTGTTTTTTTCCCCCCAATACCATGTGGCATTAAATGACATGGGTAAGCATCAGGCACTTTGCATTTGTGTTTAATGATTCTTGTGTCTACTCTGGTCTTGCATGCAGCATTGCATGTTGCTAGTTCAATGAAAGCTCATTTTTGGTGGCTCCCCTACTGATGGACTCCCTCCTGCCTTTCTTTTCTTATGGCAGCCCCAGGGAACGATGACACAGTCACATTTCGCCGAGAGCGTAGTACGTTTCGTCGACAAGCGGTGCGTAGACGGCACAACGCAGGAAGTAACTCCACACCCCCCACCTCTCTCATCGGATCCCCGCTCAGGTACGACTCACCCAGCGAGCGGCTGCAGAACACCAGCAACAGAAAACCTGTGCTGATGTCCACTTAATTATTCTCTTCAGCACATTTCATATCCTTTCTCTTTTTCTTATACACCTTTAACTGTCATTTCCACACTTCTCTGGTGCATTGCATGAAATCTAATCTTTAATTTGCTTGCTGCCCTCTTCTTACTACTGTACAGACCTTTAACCCATCCTCAGAGAAGCCCAAGCTGATCTTTTTCTGACCAATGTGCTGGTACAGGAAGCCAACATTCTTGCATGTTGCCTTTTCCATGCAATTCAAATCTTATTTTTGTTCTTGCAGGAGTTGTTTCAGTACTTCTGTTTATTTTTTCCCAGTATCTATTTTTTGAATCTTTCATGTGCTTTCACTTATTTTATCCTGTTCTGATGAACCACGTCACATGGTGTCTAACTTCAGCCTCACTGTCACACACTTACACATGCTGCTTCTGGAGTCTCTACTACTGTATCCTGGAGAGTTACGGTCACTGCATCCTTCTCTCACATACTAAACCTTCCCATAACCCCCAGACACAGTCATCCTTGCCATCATAGACGGCTTGAGATGAAGAGAGAGCGTTTGAGTGCTTTGTTTCATCATCAGGCCCGGGGCATGTCTGTCTCTCTTGAAGTATCATGATGCTTTTACTTAACTAACTTACAGAAATCACTCACAGGCTTTGTTCAGACAGGCAGCAAAAATCCAATTTATTTAGCATATCCAAATTAATTTAGTTTAGTTGTTTTTTGGCCAACAAGCAAAAACCAAATGGAGATTTATTTTTACAGACCTGAACCCAACAAAATCCACACATTACCATTCAAAAGTTTAGGGTCAGTAAGATTTTTAAATAAATTAAAATAAATAAATAATTAATAATTTTATTCAGCAAAGATGCTTTAAGTTGTAAAGTAAAGACTAACTTTTTTCAAATGCTGTTCTTTTGAACTTTCTATTTATCAAATAAACCTGAAATATTAAGCAGCACAACTATTTTTTATGATAAACGTTTCTTGAGCACCAAACCAGCATACTAAAATGACTGTGGCATTTACTTTCTATTGAATGGTGAATGAGCAAGCAAGTGTATGTTTCACACACACCATCCAAATGAATGTGTAAACACAGTGATACCTAATGCTTATGTTGCACTGATGAGTTCAGCAGTTTTCCATAATCTCTTTCCAAAATGACAGTCAGCAACTCTCTTATTTCACTTGTTTTGCTGATGCTTATGTCATTTCTATGGCAACTTATGTAGATATTAGATATTAATATAACAAAATTTTCAAAACTGACTAGTCGGTTGGTTGCCTGAGTGACCAGTCAGTTAATCAACAACAAATAAACATTTCTGATTTTGGCTCTTGCAAGATCAGATTAAAAAAAAAACGAATTAGATTTTTGTGCATTGTGAACAAAGCCATCTATTTTCCCTCACTCTGTTTCTACTTGGTGATGTTCTGTTTGCACACACACACACACACACACACAAACCTCAAAATCGCTCTTGCTTTTTCTGGCGGTGAAATCGGAATACTCATCCTCTTCTCTTCCCATAAAGCAGCCCTCTCATTTTACACTTCCTCTCAGTTCTCATAACACTTCCAGAACCCCTATTCCTCTGTCTATCACAACCATCTGTCTGTTTTTCTCTCTAAAATGTGACCTTGCGCTTCCTTCCTTGTTCTGTTTTTGTCTGTCTTATCTTTATAAACACAAACACACACACTTACTCTTACTTTATGGTTGGGCACAAGTATTTAAACATTCAGTTCTTTTTTACCTTTCAAAACATTTCACAGAACAAAACTCACAAACTTATTTTGGCATTCATTTTGGGAAGTCTTAATGTGACTCATATTATAAAGTTTTATTTGGTATCATTATATATATAGTGTGCAGCTGGAGGGCTGTCTGGATAAGGCGTCTACTGTGGGAGTGGCCAGCCTGCAGGATGACTTTGGTATGCACTGTAAAATTGCCTGCTGTCTGTCACATCATCTTGTTATCGTCACACCTGCCTGTTATATTTGCATCCTGTGTGTCTCGCATTTGCACGCTGGCTGTCAGACTATTTGTCACGCCTGCATGCTGTTTCTTATCACATTCCATTTGCATGTCATATTCAGTCAGTGTGCATCTGTAGGTTTTCATCATATTGAGAAGTTGTATTGGCTGTGGGACTTAATCGTTATTTATCGGTTTACTGATTTTTCTGCATGTATTTGTGTGTTTGGGATCACACTGATTACACTGGTAACATCATGATCTTGTATCAGATTTTGTATGCATGTAAATGTGACATGGTCTTTCTTTGGTCAGTCAAACTGACTGGTGGTCTAGAGGTATTGATGCACTCCTACTGCTGCGGTGAAGATTTGCTTCCGGTGGGGGAACATGCTTGCACTTTTCCTCCCGTGATCAATAGTGCATCTATATGTCTATAAATATCTCTTGTTTTTGAATAGACAAAGACAACAAAATCACGATATAGTGGGTTTTATGAGCTTATGAGGCAAAAATGTAAAAAAAAAAATGCATCTGTAGACAAAGGATATTGTAGGTCTTGTTTACAACAAGTATTAACTTTGGTTTCATTGAAGATTCATTCCATAAACATTTAAATTTTAAGAAGTGTTTCTGAATTTGGCTTTATTTGGTCAGATTACTAAATGTTTTGGACACAGTTTACACCTGTAATACTGTATTTAGTGTTTTCCACCTGTGATGAGATCACATAATGGAAACCATAACAATTAATGCTGTTGCAGACTGTAAAGAGTTAATTTTTTAACTTGTATTGGGGGTCAGTGTCATGTCTATGGCAAAAGGCTTAATTGGCACACTAATATGACCCTGTGTAAAGTCTGCTATGTGACCCCTGACCCCTTGTGTGTTTGTGTGACTCAGGGAAGCTGACCCCACCTCTCTATGAGGTCGGAGGATGTGACATGTCCCTGGTGAACTTTGAACCTGCAACCAGACGAGCTTCCAACAACCTCTGGTGAGTTACAGTCAGTGTTGTTATTGTGATACTTTTTTTCAACATTTTTATTTTTAAATTTCACTTTCATTTTAGTTTTAGGTAAAGTTGTAGTCATTTTGTGTTTTGTCATTTTCATTAGTGTTTTAAATACATCTATATAGTTTGTATTAATTCATATTTCAGTTTTAGTCATTTTAGTATATCAAGTTGAACTAAATGAAAATGATACATGTTGCTTTGGTGACTAGCTAAAGTAAATGTATTTTTTTTTCATTTTATTTTATTTCAAGTAAAATGTTTTATGAATGGTTTTAGTTTACTATAATACAGCACAGTGTACAGTACAACCAGAACCCAGAATCCTATGTTAAATATCTCAGAGCTAACAAAGACTTTCTCTCTGCAGGGAAACAGACTCCCACCTCTCCAGTTCTACCTCAGTTCGTTTTTACCCTCATGACCTGGTGAGTGCTACTGAACACACATACACATACGCACACACACTGAATGTTTTCTTTATGCAAACACTCAGAGATATAATTCAGCCACAGACTATGAGTAAATACACTGACATACAGTATGAGATTATGAATTGCACACAATAGTGCTTGTGTGAGAAGCAGCACAGTTGAGAAAATGAGCTCAGTGTGTGTGTGTGTAAACTCACCCTGGCTTAGTTCTCCTTTTCTCAGATGCGTCTGAATCGTTTGCTGTCCATGGACCCAGAGTTGTTGGAACAGCATGATGTGGACGGGAGTCCTGACCTTCAGGAGGCGCCGCACCGCTCGCAGGACTCCACACATAATCACACGCACCCACACAAAACCAAGCAGTACTACCGCCTGTGGCTGCTGCCGTACCTGTGGGTCGGGCTGCACTTTGACAGACTCACACTACTTGCCCTCTTCGACAGGTACACACAAACACACACATTAATGTGCATTACTGATGTATCTCAGCTCATATACTGATGAATGCTGCATGTGTTTATGTGTGTTTGTCAGGAACCGGGAGGTTCTGGAGAATGTGCTCTCAGTGGCTCTGGCGATTCTTGTGGCCTTCCTAGGTTCTGTGCTGCTAGTTAATGGGTTCTTCACTGACATTTGGGTCTTTCAGTTCTGCCTCGTTATTGCCAGTTGCCAGTACTCATTGCTGAAGGTGAGAATCACACGTTTTTCAAATACACACCAATTTAACGAATCATTTTTAATGAAAATTTGTCTTTCTGTTCTTCAATCAGAGTGTCCAACCCGACTCTTCATCACCGCGACATGTGAGTAAAACACATTCAAATACAATAACACACTTAATTACAATGAGCTAAAAGCATGTAAATTAGTGCTGGAAAAATGAATGTGTTAATTTCAATGATTAAAAATTGAAAGTTCTGTCATCATTGAATCACCCTTAAGTTGTTCCAAACCTGTATGAATTACTTTTTTCTGCTAAACGCAAAATATGATGTTTTGTATAATGTTGGTATTCAAGCACAACCGTTTTCAACACTGAAAATGATAAGAATGATTCTTGAGCACCAAATCATTATATTAGAAGGATTTCTGAAGGATCATGTGACTTTGAAAACTGGTGTAATGGCTGCTGGAAATTAGGCTTTGCCGTCACACGAAATTAAGTTACCTTTTAAAATATATTAAAATAGAAAAAAGTTACATTTTAAATTGTAGTAATATTTCACAGTATTACTGTTTATTGTTGATCAAATAAATGCAGCCTTGATGAGCAAAATAGACTTCTTTCAAAAACATTTCAGTCATATTGCTCTCAGTTCTTTGGTGTATATTCATGATTATATATGATATTTAATTAATAGCACCTAACATGATAAATTGCGATTAATTACAGAAAATGCATTACTTTTTGTTGAATATAAAAAAAAAAAACATTTAAAGTTAAATGACAGATTGGGGGTCTTGGTTCAGATGCAATGTTTTTCTCTTCCTTCTGTGCATGTTTGTTTAGGGTCATAATCGAATCATCGCTTACAGCAGGCCTGTGTATTTCTGTCTGTGCTGTGGGCTGATTTGGCTGTTGCACTATGGGAGTGTAAACAGCAGCTCCACTACAGTGTCTCTGTATGGAGTCGCTCTCACCAGCTCCGTCCTGCTGTCTCAGGTGCGGGATCTCCTCATTGGTGAGCGCTGATACATACGAGGACATAAATTCCCAGCTGATGAATATGTAGCTGTTATTGTTTTGCTCTTTTATTGAAATCAGCATGCTGTACGATTTTTCTCATCATTCCTATAAAAGTAGAAAGACATTCCAGAGCTGAGTACAGAGAAAATCCTGCTGATGTGTCGAGGCTTAAGCACTCGAGCTTTATATTATCTCTCTCTCTCTCTCTCTCTCTCTCTCTCTCTCTCTCTCTCTCTCTCTCTCTCTCTCTTTTTCCTCT